GAAAGTGGTTGAGAGACAGACTCGGATTCAAATCTCAGCAATGCCTTCCTACAAGATGCACATATCTACACAAACTAACCTCTCTGGAGCAGGTAGCGATTAGGAAATGTCAAAGGTCCCCGTTAAAATGATCAGCATATGGAGTCATTTTACGACTGGGATTCATGAGGACCCTTCCTACATGGAGGAACACATCTTTGGGCCTTCAAGGGCTAAAGGAACAGAAACTGTAAACTTGAGTCCAGCCACTGAGGGTACACACAGCAGCCCAGCCTTGCATAGCAACTTCAGTGCCCCCCTCACCCCTGCTCCCAGGGTCCCAGCCCCACAGGTGAGGAAACCCAAGGGCACTTGTGTCATCTGATTGCTCTTTTCCTCCATTTCCATCCTACTCTCAATCTTTCGTTTATTCTGGTAATGTTTACCCCATTGTTTAATTGGCCAAGGGGACTTTTTGCTTTAGATGGTAAGAGTTCATCTCCTTGGTAAAATCTAATGCAAGACCTTCACTGATGGAGTCAGCGGTGAACAAGCATAGCCTTGGGCATTCACCCATTTTTTGTCCTCACCTCACCCCACAAAACCCAGCCTCCACAAAACCTCCGCTTAGCTCCACTGCTTCGGGTCACTCTGGAACCACCCCTTCTTTTCCAATGCAGCACCAGGACCCTCTGCCCTGGCATTGCCCTTCAAACTGCCCTCCCACCTGTGAGCCCAGCCCACAGGTGAGGCCTGGACAGACACAGCCTGGATGTTCATTGCAGGAGTGAGTGATATACAGTGTGGTGGGACAAGAGACCCACTACAGTGTAGTCTGGAAAATAAATAAGAAAAAACCAGGCCAGGGACTGCAGCTTTTTATTCCCCTGGGGCCACAGCATCCAATCAAGGTTGGGTACCCTCGAGAGTCATAAGACACAGAATCCTCAGACTGGATTTCCGTCACTCAGTTTATCATAATCCTTACCTATGGCCATCCCTGGATACCCTAGAATTCCCCAGTACCCTGATACTTTTTTCCTCCAGATCTTTCCTTAAGAATCAGAGATGAAGGGGTTAACTTGAAATGTATAAATACAGACAAAATGCTCCCAGGTGGAGAGTCAGATATTACAAGTCCCCACTCACCCGGCTCCATTTCCTCCTCTCCCTCCTTCCCCATCCCTCAAGCACACAAGTACTCCAAGCCAGCAGAAACCCTCTGATGAGCCAAGCTTGGCTGCTGTTGTTTTGTTTTTCATTTATTAGCCCAGGTGAAAGCATCTCAGTGCCACCCAAGGGCTGTTGAGAACCCAGTAAAATACTGAGGTTATTTATCCCAAGGAAGAACTTATGTTCGGGTGTCTGTGACCTGCTGTCTCCTGGCTGGAAACAGCCTGAGGAGACAGGAGGGGGAGACTCAGTCTGGCCCTGGTCCTTACTCAACCCAGTCCGTAGCCCCCATCCACTTGTGTGGCTGTAAGGCAAGAATAGCATGGGAGCAGAGCAACGGGCCTCTCCTTCTCTCCATCCTTGCACCCTCCCATTCCTGGCATGCCCTGGGCAACGTGGGCCCAGAGTGGGCTTTTCCAGACACTTCTCAACAGAAGAAGGGCAAGAGCCATAAACTGAGTGCCAACCATCTTTTCACTCCCCAACATGTTCACCTGCTCTCTCTCCCAGCCCCTTCTCCTTGCTGAGGTCAGTCGCACTCTACCAGGGACACACACTCGCTATAACAAACACACAACATGTATCACTGGGACACCAAATCCCCTCTCTGAGCACTGCTCCATTGCAAAGTTCTCTTCTCCCTCGGCCTCAATGCCCTGCCTCCAGCACTGGGTCCAGAACTAGGGCCTTCCTTCCCAGTAACATACCCTCACCTTCTTCCACTGCTTTCATCCTGGGAGGGAGAGGGCTCAGCAGCCCCTGCCCCACCCTCAGGCTGCTCTCTCCCCTTGGGGGTCCCTGTCATCCTCTGCACCACTGTGGGTGTCCTCCCTGCCGGCCTAAAGAGCACTGTCCCTGCTTGCCTGGCCACTTCCCTGTCTTTCTCTAACTCTGCCCCCACAGAGTGTAGAGGGGGTCATGGGGCTGGAGAACCCATAACAAGCTTCCGCCCTCTGCCGTGGCTATTCTAGAGCTGTGGGAACCTCCAGAGTCTCCCTTCTGGGGCCTGGCTTTCTCACCTGTAGAATCCTGTCCTGCTCTGCCTGTCTGCATCTTCCCACTACACCTTGATGCCCAAAGCCCCCACCTTCCCAACCAAGGCCTTCAGCCTGAGCTTTATGCTCTTGCTTTACTGTTGTATTCTGATTCCACACCTCAGACGCCTCATTCAGGACACTTCTGGTGGCAACTTAGCCCTGCACCTGTGGCCTGGACAAGTGCCAACCCTAGGGAGACCTCACTGTCCCCATTTCTGCAACAGAATTCCTAAAACCCTTGGAATTTCGTAAGTGATGAGAGTAATAAAGGTGTCTCAATATTCATAACAACCTCCTCGCAACTATACCTCAGTTTATGTTAATGAGGTAACTTTTGGAAAACACCTAAGGATGGGCTGGTTGCCAGGGAAACCAACCATATGATTGGAGGGTTGAAACTTTCAGTCCCACTCCCCTGACCTCTGTGGAGGGGAGAGGGGCTGGAGGTTGAATCAGTTGCCAAGTGTGCCTAATGAAGCCTCCATAAAACCCTAAAGGGCAGGGTTCAGAGAGCTTTTGGATTGGGGAGAGTGGCAACAGACATGGAAGCTCCATACCTTTCCCCATACCGTGCCGGATGGAACTCCCCCATCCGGCTGTTTCTGAGCAATAAGCTTTTATAATAAACCGGTAATCTAGCAAGAAAAATGTTCCTCCGAGTCCTGTGGGCCACTCCAGCAAACTAATCAAACCCAAGGAGGAGGCTGTTGGAATCTCCAAGCTAGAGTCAGAGCACAGGTGACAACAGGGACTTGTGATTGGCTAGTGGGGTGAGGGCTGGTCTTGTAGAACTGAACCCTTGACCTATGGGATCTCATCCTATCTCCAGGTAGATGGTGTCAGAATTAAGTTGAATTGTGAGACATGCAGCTGGTGTTAGAGAACTGCTTGGTATGGGAGAAGAGCCCACACATTAGAATTAGGTACAAGGAGGGGTGCTTGGGTGGCTCAGTCAGTTAAGTGGCTGACTTAGGCTTAGGTCACAATCTCGCAGTTCATGAGTTCAAGCCCCATGTCGGGCTCCGTGCTGACAGCTCAGAGCCTGGAACGTGCTTCAGATTCTGTGTCTCCCTCTCTCTCTGCTCCTCTCCAACTCATGCTCTGTCTGTCTGTCTCTCTCTCTCTCTCTCTCTCTCTCAAAAAAAAAAATAAACATTAAAAAAAAAAAAGAATTAGGTACAAGGGCACCTGGGTGGCTCGATTGGTTAGGCGTCCGACTCTTGGTTTCAGCTCAGGTCATTATCTCACAGTTTCATGAATTTGAGCCCCAAGTTGGGCTCTGCACTGGCAGCTCAGAACCTGCTTGGGAGTCTCTCTCTTCCTCTCTCCCCCTCCCAAACTTACACTGTCTCTGTCTCTCTCAAAAAATAAATAAAATAAACAAACTAAAAAAAATAACGAAAAGCACAAAAATTTACACAGATTAAAAAAGAAAAAAAGAATTGGCTACAGAATTGTACCCCTACCCTACTCTTAGTCTTTTTCTTCTGTACCTACTAAGACACTATATAATTTATTTTTTAACATGTTTGTTGCTTATTGTACCCCTCTGCCACGAGAGTGTAAGCTCTGTAGGGAAATGATCCTTGTTTTGTTCACAGTCACCCCCTGAGTTCCTAGAACGGTGCCTGGTAGGGAGTGGTGCTTTGGCACTAAATTCATTGAATGAATGAATGAATGAATGTATGAATACATTCTGCCTTATTTTAAACCCCTGTTTTCCTACCACAATGAAGGAACTTGAGGGAGGTTGGGTCTTTTTTATATTTATGTTCTCCAGGTTGTGTGGTCCAATGTCCAAGGTAGGGATAAATAAAGCTTTTAATAGAATCAGTCTCAAGACAAAGACCCATGCCCAAGAGGTCCAGAGAGGGGGCGGTGGTGAGGGGCTTCGGTGAGGTGAAGGCTGGTGGGCAGGGTGGAAGCCTTGTCTCAGGCCCTCGCTTAGGCACCGCTTATGGATGGCAAGAGAGGAAGAGAGGCGTTCTCAGTGCCACTGTTCCTCCCCAACTCCGCTGAGCCTTGGACATGTACACAAAGTAGGATGGTGCCCATGAACATGACTCAGGACAATAAAAAGAACCTTTGCCAAGAGGAGACAACCTTAAGAAGAACTTCACACTGACTTCTCTCTTTTGTCTGAATTAGAAGTTCTCAACCTGGAATCGTATGCAAGATTTGGTGGGACCTTTTTCTTTGGGTCTCAAAGGCCTGTATGGCCCAGAAAACATTAAGAACCGCTAGCCTGGAGAATCCCGACGGGAGTTCCAGAATTCTCCCACTCCCTCCTGCCACTGCCGCTACTCCCACCAGCCTGCTCAGAGAATGGAGTAGAGCCTGCTGTAAACACTCACTGACCACCACCATGGGTCTGTGAACGCGCTCAGGCAGAAGTCAGGAGACAGGAGAGGCCTGTACTCAGCCTCATTCCCCTTGGCTCTGCCCTTACCAGGAGTTTCCAGGCTCAAGGATAAATTTGAGTTTATTTGGGGAAAAAAATGTTTAAAGCACAAGAGGCAGAGAGAAGAAGCCAGCATACATCAGGGGCCTGCTGCCAGAGGAGTCTCTGTTCCTTTCCCTTACGGTTCCTCCGAAGTGCCAGCCCCATGAACTCAGTCAGCTCCACAGCCCCACACTAAGAACCCACATGTTGGTCGAATCACAGCAGCTAAATCAACAACAGTCATGCAGATGAGAATACTGGGGGTCCTTCCTTGAGCCTGGCACAAACAAGCCCCCAGCTTTATTGTCTGGCAGAGCTTCAGACCTTCATGAGCCCCAGGCTCCTAGGCCCAGACCCCCTTAGCTCCATCAGAGACGAGAGGAGAAGCCGGCCACCGCGATGTTCTCGCCGGTGATGTAGCTGGCGTCTGGAGAGCACAGGAAGGACACAAGTCCTGCGCAGTCCTCAGGCTGCCCAATCCTGGACAGAAGGAGGACAGAACACATGTCAATGATCTCAGACTCTGCTCTGGTGGGAGTGGACTCCAAGAGGGGACAGGGTGGACCTGGCAGGGCTACTTGCATCCTCCAGGGCTCTGCAGAAACCAGACTTCAGCTAAAGGAATGACCAGTGCCCAGGGAGGGGTCAGCTAGTGAGATAGACCAGCCCCTCTTCCCCAACTGTATCCAGATTACCGAGGTTCCAAACCCAACTTGCCTCTGAACTTTGTGATCTTCCTTGAAGTTGTTCCAGAAAACCTCATTCTTGTATGCCTGGGCAAAGAGAAAACATGAAAGAGTCAGTGCTAACTAAAACAAGGAGATGAGCAGGGACCAAGGTGATCCCATAGCAGATTTGCCTTTCTCAGGGGAGAGGGACTGAGTCATGGCTGAATTCAGAGGACAGCAAGGACCTCAGCTGTTAAGGATGCTGATCTGAAGCTCCAGTCACTCCTTCATCACTTAGTCATTGGGGAGGTTTCGCCAAGCCAGGCTGAGAAATGGAGGACATGCCCCAGTCCTCACCACTTTGCTGAAGTCAGTCTTGATTATTCCTGGAACCAGGCAGTTCACCCGGATGCCCTTGGGGGCCAGCTCCAATGACAGTGTCCTGGTGAGGCCCAGCAGGGCCGTCTTACTGATGTTGTAGGGACCCAGCTCCTGGGAAGGGAATCAAGACAGTGATTAGGATATTGGGAAGCAGGGGCACCTGGGCGGCTCAGTCGGTTAAGTGTCCGACTCTTGGCTTCGGCTCAGGTCATGATCTCATGGTTCATGGGTTTGAGCCCCACGTCAGGGCCTGTGCTGACAGTGCAGAACCTGCTTGGGATTCTCTCTCTCTTCCCTCCCACACTGTCTCTCTCAAAATGAATAAATAAACTTAAAAAAAAATTTTTTTTTAAGGATATAGGGAAGCAGAGGAACACATCAGTTGGATTTCTCTCCTACAGATGATCCCACCCTGGCCCAAGCACAGAACTCAGACACACTCTCCCCAGCCTGGTCTGAGAACAGAAGTTGGATCTGAGGGACCCAGCAGCCACATGGGCATCAGCTCAGCCTAGGGCAGCAGGAGTAAAGTGTGGGTCTATCCCAAACGTTGTCCCTGTGGCGTTGTGGGGACCCCTTCCCCTAATCCTACCAGGAGCACATAAGCAACAACTCACCACATGTGGTACATATGCTGAAACGGAGGAGACCAGGATGACCGCCCCCCTCCTGAGAGACAGACAGACACAGGGGAGACAGGAAACCAATAACTTACCACGGACTTAGGTGCCACTATTATTTTTAAAAGATAAAAAATTATAATTATAACATTTTAATGATTATAGTCATTGAATAATGCGGTCCTCACAACAGCCATACAGTTCCTGTTATTATCCCCATTTCCCAGCTGAGCAAACAGGCTCAGCAGGGCTTAGCAACAGAGCCAATAAGTGGCAGAGCTGGGACTCCAACCCTATCTCTCTCTGACCCAATGTCTCTACTTTGAACCATTACACTCTTCTGCCTATCCCTGGGGTAGTGAAGAACAGACAGCCAGGTGCTTGGGAAAGGGGGCAGAGTGGCCTTGGTGACAGTGAATGCCTATCAATGGGTGGCCTCTGACAAGTAGATGGGGCGGGAAGAGACAAGAAATGAGTCAGGAGTTTTTCCTTCTATCCAAGACAGTCCCCAGGCCAGTTCCTGAAGGGTATGTCTGCATGGAGGACATACTGGAGGAGTAGCTACGTGCTGAGGGAGGTGGTGGCCCAAGTCCCTAACCTCAGACCCCTGAGACTATGTGTGGAGTGCAGTCAGATATGCAAGACCTAGAACAGGTCCTGCCTAGAACAGCAGGCTCCCTGGAGACTGAGAAGCAGGGAGTGAGGAGGGGCGTGGGATGGACCTCTCCCTGCCGGGAGCAAAGGGGCAGACCCTGTCCCAGACTGTAAGCTGGTGAAAAGGCATTGTCCAGCTGCGAGAGAATCAGAGTAGGTGAGGGTGAAAATGACCTGCCCAAGGCTAAGGAGCTAAAAGCACAGCCCTTTCCCAAACATGGTGATGTCAAGGCCAACGAGAGCATGCCTGAGCCCCTGGACATCACCCTCATCATACGGCCACTAGAATTAGAAGCCATAGCTGTACAAAAGGTGAGGCAGAACAGAGGGAGGGGGATGTGGAGGCCTCAGGGACACCTCTTTTGTCCTCCCCTCCCAGCTATGGCCCCATGTTCTCTAGACTCAATTCATGCCCTGGCTCCCCACCAGTCCCCACCCCCACCCTGCAACCTACCCCCTCTTCTCCATGTGGGGCAGCAGCTGGCTCAGCATCAGGGCCGGGGCCTTCACATTCACTTCCAGGATCTGAAGTCAGAGCAGAGGCATGGTGGAGGGCAGAGACACATAGTCAGCCCTCAGCCCAGGACCTGTTCTCATAAGACACATGGGGTCCTAGAATTTGTGCGGTAAACCCAGATATGTGGAGATCTGAGATCAGTTCCCCTTCTGATCAGGACAAGAGGTGCTTCCCACTTGCTAATGGTTTAACAGGCAGGCAGGCTAAGTGACAGGCCTGTGAACAGAGCCCTGAAAATGTGAATTGTTCAGGATTGGGGTGAAGGAAGGCAATGTTCAGGCCTTTTAAAGAAACTGGACTATGTTCTGGTTGTGCATACAGAAGCTATAAGCAGAGGCCACTGGAAAAAGACTGAAAGTAGAACAGATGGAGGGAATGTAGGTGCTGGGAGCAAAGGAGATTTCTGGAAGAGTTGTCTTCGTCTGTGTTTTTACTTGTTTATGTCCTTGTCTTGTTCCAATAGAATTAAAGGCGTACTCACAATGCAACAGCATAAAACAAATCAAATAGGTATTATGTGTGAAGAAATGGAGAACAGTAAAAAATAAGTGTAGAAAAATAAGAAAAAGCAAGAGTAAGGTTGGTGCCCACAGTTCACAGCATGTGGTAAGGAATGAACATTAGTCTATTATTCGTTCACAAAAATGCAAGCTGTGAGGGCCTACATGCATGCCAGTTTATTGCAAACTTGGCTCCAAGCTTTCCTACGGCCACCACAAAGAGGGAGACACAACAGAGAATTGCCATTCTGGGAGGTGGGTGCCCACGCTGGGCCTGCCTGCAGCTAAAACCTGGATCTGGGCTCAGACTTAAGGGTCCCTGACCCTCTGGGAACTCTGTATGGTGGCACTGGGGACAGAGGAAAAGTATGAGAGGAGCCGACAGGGAAAGATGCAGAAACTGGGCTGGGGGCTAGGCCAGAGTACCAGTTGGGACTAACATGGGAGCAGGATCCCTCCTGTGGGGCACCACCTCGAGTGAGGTCAGTGCATCTATGTCTCTAGGGAGTGAGGCTGCACATCTGCAATGCCTTGCCACGTTTTCGTCCCACACCCAACCACCCCATTGGATGTGGGCAGGGGAAATGCTTCAATGGAGAGCTGCTGAGGCCAGTGTGATGACAAGTTGCCAGTGTTGGGGATGACCCCCAAGACTGTAAGAAGTGGCTCAGATGTCTAAAGGGGGGACCAGCATGAGATCCCCAATAAGAAGGAATTGAGGGTTAGACTAAGGGTATTCCTGGTCATTCTCTGTTCGAAACAGACCCCTGCCACCCCACCGATGTCTGCCCTAAGCTCCATGTATGTCGGGCTGGGTGATGGGCTCAGACAAGGCCACTCCTAGACTTGGCAACCAAACATGAGCCAAGGAAAAGTTACAGCCCCTCCCGGGCTGAAGAGGACTGCCCTCTTAGAAAATCGGGTAGAGTATCTCTGAGTGCCACGAAGTCCTGAGTATAGACTGTGGGCCTGAGAAGAATGGGTGCTGGAGAGTCCTCAGGCAGGAGAAGGGTGGAGGAGAGGCGGTGGAATGGGAGATGGGAGATTTCCCAACCAGCTGGAGAAAACGGGGGTCTGCCTGGGGAGGCGCTCAAACCGGCCCAGGGATAAGGTGAACAACAAGGAACTCCCAGGACACCTGCTGAAAACCGCATGCAGATAGAGCAGCAGGTCAATGTCACACTCGTTTTGTAACCATTTCACCTCTGAGGTGGTGGCGGATGTGACTGGAGATGACTCCTGCCCAGTGGGGCAGACGGCTTGTGGACTAGCAAGACCTTGGAAAACAGGGTAGCGGCAGAGAAAGTAAGGCTGGGCCGTGGGCAAGTGCGCTCAGCTTCAGGAGAGAAGATTTGAAACGGGTTCTGAGAAAAAGAGTCATGATCCCATGACCTAAGACACTATAAGGAAGTATGACTCAGGGGGGTTAGGAGATGGTCAGCCATGCAGTCCCAGCCACCTAATCACAAATGGTCGTTCGGCAGCATCAGGAATCTGAGGAGCCTGGGGAGGCTGCTAGCAGCGGCTGCAGGGAGCTCAGATTTCAGGCCATCTCTGAGGATGGAGGAAAGGGCAAGCCGCCAAGGGCAGATGCACAGGAGAGGTGGCTCGAGAACGATGTCTACAGAGCGCGGATTGCTGGGGAAGGCAGAAGGGAATGCTCTGGCCAGTGCTTGGTAGGGAGGGGGGTGGTAACATGGTGATTTCATTGCAGTCCGTCTTGTCTGACAGACTCAGGAACCAAAGACAGGAGTGAATGGAACAGAAGTCATAGGATAACAAGGCCCAAAATGGACCTCAAGACATTTTGCAAGGCCTCTTCTGGACCCTGTGGCTCAGGTGGCAGGATCATTAGGTGGACGAGGTGGGTTGGAATGTCTGAGCTCATAGGAAGCCAGTGGCCAGGCCCAGGCCTGACAGGTGTAGCAGGTTCATCTGAGGGACAGTAAGGAAGCCTCATCTCGGAAGGGTGAAGAAAGAATCTCAGCAGCAGGTACAGGTCACCAAAAAGGAGCAAAATCACCAAAAAAAAAAAAAAAAGGAAAATATATCTGCTGTTGACAAAGAGCAGAGACCTTACTATTCTTGACTCTTACCAAAAGCAGAGACCTACCCCCACAGCTGTAAAGCTAGAGCCTGGAACCGTGTCTGGCACATAGCAAACCCTCAGTAAATATTTGCTAAATGAATAAATGCAAAAAGGATGGGAAGAGAAAAGATGGCAGAAAGAATGTAGGAAGCCACTTTAAAAACACACAAATTGGAAAGGAGCACCGCAGCACACTCCAGGGGACAAGTGGTCAGTGCCTGTTTTTACAGTAACTTTGGGAGGGGGGGCTCAACCGGGGAGCGCTTCAGACCCTCTGCCAGCTCCCCCCAGCGGCCTCTCACCTTGTCCCACACCTGCTCACTGGCCCCCAGGGTGCTTCCCACCAGCGGGTTGACACCTGCACTGCACACCAGGAAGTCGAGACCCCCACAGTGCTCCACGACCTGGGGGAAAGAGTGACATGAAGGGCATAAGTGTGGAGATGGCCCGAGGAGGCCTCACCTGCCCGGCACTGCTGCCAGGTGCACAGGGCATTGAGACAACACTTGCTAATTAGATACTGTCTCAACCAGGAATGGTCACAAAGCCAGTGTGAGAACCAAACACTGGTGAAGGCAATGCCCTAGGTAGGCCCAAGGACGGGCTCTGCAGAGCTGAGGGCCTCAGGAGAGGAAGGTCTGTCTTCTCCAGGAATCCGTCTATATACCCGGGATGGGGAATCCCTTTAGAATCCTCCTCAACCACAGTTCTCCAGGTGGGGGTGGGGGTGAGGGTCCTTTCACGAACGAGCCACTTTCCAGAAAGCCAGCGTGAACAATGAGGTCTACCCGCTTAGACCATGAACAATCCTGGTTTCAAGACTGTTGCAGGGCCTCCCAACCCCGATCCGGGTGTCTGCCCCACCCAGGGCTGAGCAAAGTGGGAAAGGCTCTGTGCACTCTCCTCCCTATGTCCTTCCACCCCTGTGGCCCCTCACCGTGTCCACCAGTCGCTCCCGGTCCTCGGCCTTCCCCACGTGGCACACGGTGCCCACCACGCTCAGCCCCTCCCCCTGCAGCGCCGCCACTGCCCGGTCTACGTTCTGCTGCTTCCGGCTGCTGACCACCACGTGGGCCCCGTCCCGGGCCAGGCGCCTGGCGATGGCAAAGCCGATCCTGTGGCAGAAATGGAGGGAACAAGACAGCCTCAGCCTCTTGCCACCGTGGTCCCTCGACCCACGGAAACCAATAAGGCTGTGTCCTAATCTACAACCTTGAGGTCTCTCTGTGGAAGCGAAAATCCTTGTGAGGGGTCAAGACCCATAGGGCAATCAGGGCACTTACCCATCAGTGGACCCCGTGACCACCGCCACCCGATTGGCCAGGATGCCCTTTTGGCCTATCCCCCTGCTGATCATGCGCACAGAGAGTCCAGCACAGGAACGGAACAAGCCTCTGTGGATGCAGGCCACTGTTGGGAGCATGGAGGCCAGTTCCTGTCTCTGCTTCCTGCTGAACTTGGCCCTGGAGGAGAGAATCAACTTCAACTATCACTGATGCCATTAGTGAGCGTGATGGCAATCTACCTCCAGCTCCTTCAGACAGACAAGGCCAGCAGCAGAGAGCCAGAGAGAGTCCAGCTAGTCAGGGTGAATTTCAAACACGTGAGCCTCAGGTCAGGCAAACTCTGTGAAAATTCTCTATTTATAAAACAGGCAAATTAGAGTGTGAGACCCACCATTCAGCAGACAGGGTTATCTTCCCATTCATTCCACGACCAAGCACTGAGCACTTGCAACATGCCAGAGAAAGTAGACCAAGGTTCTGAGCGCCTGCATAACGTCCTCACCAGGCTGTGCTGAAGTGAAGCTAATTGCATAGAGGCTGTGAGGAGCCTGAGACAGACAAGGCAGCCCCACACCAGGCTGCAGGGTGCAGACCCATGCCCTCAGGACACCCTCAGGAAGGAAAGGGGTAGGCTTTCGCAAGTGTGGGTAGGGGTAGGTCTGCACAAGTGTGAAGGCAGGGTGAGGACCTGGCGTGGGAGACTCACATATGCAGACACTGTCTATGAACTGGAAATACAGGAGAGATGCTTGTGTAGGGGATCCTCTTTCGCCAAGACCCCAAATTTCCCAGCTCCACATCAATGTGAGCCCAGAGGCTCCTGCCTCCCCCCAGTGTGAGATTCCCATTTGCCTGCCCAGGAGCCCTGTGGGGTCCCGAATCTAGGAGTGTGATCTGTTTCCTGCGGAGGCGGGAGGAAAGGAATGGTTGGAGAAAAGGGTCACTGAGGATACACAGCGACTCGGGATGTACTTTTCATGTAAGATAGTGCCAGGAAGCTGAAGAGATGCAGTTTCTGGCAGCTTGGACTGCAGGGGCCATCCGACACGCACTTTCAGGAGATTCTGGTGTGGGCTGACCGTCTGCAGACCCTCATCTGTTCCAGACCTGCCTTGGCCACTCTAACACCAAGGGACTCCTTGTTACTAAGCAACCCCTGCCATACCTACTGCATCTCCCTTGTTTCTTAGCAACCAACCTTTACATAACCCAGTTCCCTCCAGTTAGGGGTCCTTATCTATAATAACAAATGAATGGGTGCTGCTCAGGAATTAGGGAGAAATTTCAGATTAAATATCAGTCTGTATCAGTGCCATAATGAAGGTAACCAAATGCTCTGCTTTAAGAGAGACAGCCTTGGTTTCAAATTTATGTCTCTTCAGATACCGTATTTCCAAAGACACCCTTTGCAGGTCCTTGACCTCCTCTCCTTTTTGTCCTGGCTGCTGTCATTCTCTTCTCTCTCACATGCTGTCTCTTTTCTGCAAGGTCATACCTATAGCCTTTCCATTCCAGAGGATGAGGGGTTTCAGCTTCTGATTATTCTACTTTTCCTAAACAGGACACCGGATTCTAAACACTGTTATGACCCCTGGGGGCCTTCTCTACCCCCAGCTGTGAGCACAGATTAACCCCACCAAGTGTCAAGGGAATTGGTCTCCTTGGCTGGGAGGGCAGCAGGAAAAAGAGGGACTCGAATTTTGTCAGGACGGGCCGCCCCCTGCTGGAAGACCAGAGTTATGGCACATCTGAGATGCTGTTCCCATACCAGCAAGTCCGTGGCTGTCCCCTCTGTTCTACAACAGTCCTTACCAAGCCCTGCTCCTTTGTAAACTTGCCACGAGATGGTTTGCAGGAAAGCTTCCCTACTTGTAGGGAAAAACAGCTGTGGCCTATTGCAGGTAGAGCATGGAGAAACTGATCAGGCCCCATCTGTCTGTCTTGGTTCCCCTTCCCATTCCAGGTCCTTCTTTCCCTGAGACTGAGCAGCTTCCAAAGGTCCAGGCTCCCACTCACTCTGCCCTCATCCCCACTTCTGCTTTCCTCTGGAGCAGTCAGTTGGGCCAGCTAGGCCAGAGTCAACCACAGGTCCTAGGGAGCTTAGAGTGGTCTCTGAGCCTGGCACTGCCCACTCTGATGCCCCTTACCATGCTGATCAGTTCAGTTGCCCAGAAGTGGAGGTGGGGAAGCCAAGTGGACACACCCTCAACTTAGTCCCATCTTGGAGATGGATGGCCCTCACCAAAGAGAAAAGGAAAGGGAAAAGCAAAGAAAAGATTAGGGGAGAGCTAGTAGTTAGAAACACTGACAATCAGGAAAGAAAGAGATGAGGGAGATTTCAACAGAAGGTGCATGATTTGGGCAAGTCTGTTCCCCACTCTCTGGCTCCATCTGCACCTGGGTAAGATGAGGTGCTGAGTTGGGTGGCCCTAAGGGCTCTGATAGCCCCCAAGAGCTTTATTATGAGAATCAAAGAAGAAATAAAGACAGCTGCAGACAGAGCCAGGGAGAAGGAAGCATCAGCACAAAAAATAAAAAAAGGGTGAAGGTGGGCAGTAGTGGTGACAGGGACCCCAGCCTTACATTGGGCCATTGTCCCTGCTCTGGTCTTACCTGGCGATGCTCTCGTCGTCGTTCCTGAGTGCCCTTCTGAGGGTCAGGAGCCCTTCTGCTGTGGAGCCTGCAGCTGACTGAGTGTGAAGATGTGAGGAAACAACAGGCTGAGTTTCAGGCACTGTTACTCCATCTGAAAAACTCAAGGATTCTTGGAATCTACCTTCCTAGAATTATGAAAGGCGGTGATGAGAAAAGTCCTCCCCCACAGCTGGCGAGGAAGCTCCTTGGGGGTGGCTTGGGGGAAAATGCAGGACTTGAATGCCCCTCACGCCATTCATCAGGAAGCCAGTCCTATCAGTCCATCTGTCCCCAGACACTCACACAATAGAAGCAGACAGACCCCAATCTGTGGGGCCTACAGGCTTAGCTGGCTGGGGAGGCAGCACTGGGTACAAAGCCACGAAGATATTTCTACAAGCACAGAGAAGAGACTGCAGGCCTCAGCCCCAAAGCCAGATCAGGGGATCAGGCCCCAGGCACTATACAGGACAGATGGCTGTAGAGTTCTAGATGTACTTTTGTATTCAGGTGTCCACCCACCACCCCAGGCTGTCACCTAGGCCCAATTATTTGAATGAGCACCTACTTCCTGCCAGGCACTGCATTAAGTACTGTGAACACCAAAATAATGAAGGAACAGTCCACCTTGAGAAGCTTACAGTCTAATGGAGAAGTTAAACAAATGTAGTGCAGAGTGCTACATGCTAAAATAGAAGTAGGTTGGGAATGCAAACTGGTGTAGCCACTCTGGAAAACAGTATGGAGTTTCGTCAAAAAGTTAAAAATAGAACTACCCTATAACCCAGTAATTGCACTACTAGGTATTTATCCAAGGGATACAGGTGTGCTGTTTTAAAGGGGCACATGCACCCCCATGTTTATAGGAGCACTATCAACAATAGTCAAAGTTTGGAAAGAGCCCAACTGTCCATCGACAGATGAATGGATAAAGAAGATGTGGTATATATATACAATGGAGTATTACCCAGCAATCAAAAAGAATGAAATCTTGCCATTTGCAACTACGTGGCTGGAACTAGAGGGTATTATGCTAAGCAAAATTAGTCAGAAAAAGACAAATATCATACGACTTCACTCACGTGAGGAATTTAAGAAACAAAACAGATGAATATAAGGGAAGGGAAGCAAAAATAATATAAAAACAAGGAGGGGGACAAAACATAAGAGACTTTTTTTTTTAAATGTTTATT